ATTCTGTAAAAACGTTCTTAAGGCACTTTTTTAAGCACAATCCGGTGGCGTTTTTTCTATCCTTGCTCTTTTTGTCAGAAATAATAAAAAATATGATTTTTTAAATGATGAGATTGGTAATCCAAAGGATAAAACACCTCCACTGGAAAGGTCGGGTATTTATGAAATTTCTTGTAAAGATTGTAATCAGAAATATGTTGGGCAAACTAGAAGATCAATATTAACTAGATTTAAAGAACATTTAGCTCAGATAAGATATGGTAGACCGGATAAATCTTGCGTTGCCGAACATATTGTTGATAAAGAACACTGAATAGATCTTAATAATTTAAAATTAATTAACCAAGTCTCAAATTACAGGCAATTAGATGCATATGAAAGCATCAGAATTAATAAATGTAAAGATAGTATGAACAGAGACAACGGTCTAATTCCTTCAAGTTCTTTGTTCCTACTACTCTAGTGGTGGAAATTTAACTGTTACGCTCGGCGGGCTCTGACGCGGTTGGCTAGATCTTGCCACGCCCACTCGGTGCCCACTGAGCGAGCATATAAACGCTCAACTTGTAGATTGTATTTTAGTTTATAATCATCTGCTGATGATGCTCAACTGTAAGCTCAATGGAACGAAATATGTTAGGAATAACCAAGAAAGACTTTAAAAGAATAGAGTGAATGGCAAAAGACTTAGGTAATAGATAAAGGTCATCCACAGAGTCAAATCCTTCAAGTGGAAATGGGCTGGATACCTGGCAAGAAGACGGACAACAGATGAACCACAAAAATTACAGCATGGTACCTACGAGGAATTAAGAGACCTAGAAGAAGACCGAACCTGAGATGGGACCATGATGTTAGGAAATATCAGGGAAAACTTGGGCCCGCATAGCCAACAATAGACAACAATGGGCCCAACTACAAAGAGATTATCTAGATATGTGGGAAGGCTACACACAAACCATTGAATAAGCTGAAAATGATACCATACTTATTAATTTATTCATCATCGTTTAACAACCTAACCAAAAATATTGATAATAGTAATAGACACTACGACAACCAATTTTGTTTTCAAAAATATTTTATCAAAAACTAAATTTGAAAAGGACAGAAAAAACTAGGTTATATAGACTTAATTACTTGTAAACACTTGAGACTATTATTATAACCCTGAGAACAATCAGTCTCGATCTCGATGTTAAATTTCGTTTAGTAGTTCGTAAACAATTTCTATACTGAGATAAAAGTTTTTCCATTTGAACTTTACATATCATATGCAAAAGAAAAAAAGTATATATAAAATAATTCAACATTATCTCAGGCAGAGTATTAGAATTTATTATGGTTTTATATCCTAAGCTTCTTGTAATCTTGTTTTTTTCGATATAGTGGTATTAATACTGTAAACTAATAACTTTTATACATGTCAAATATGTTTGTTTGTCGCTATTATATTAAAAAATCGCGAAAAACATCATGTGATTGCGATTGTTATTAATATAAAACTGTTAAGCTTATGATGTATCGTGTCAAACATTATTATAAGGAATAAATTTGTTATACAAGGTGTGAGCAAGGACGTAACGTAACTTTAGGGAGAGATTTGAAAACAAATGTTTTTTTTTAATATACACAATGTCAAATTTTTAAAAATAAATCCTGTTTTCGTAAATATCCTAATAATATTTCAGTTTGTCGGTTTTGTTGAAATTTGGTAGTGGTATAAGCTGTAGTAATGAGCTAACCCAAGTAGCATCTATCTGACTTCGAACTAAATCTGACCTGAAGCGACGTCAGACTTTGTGCAAATTTAGGTCGGGTGCTGGTGATACGACCGGTGACGTCGCGTCGCTTTCCTATTAAAAGCGACGTCGTTGGATACGAGTGGGTAAATCCAACGAACTGTCGACGTACAAAATAACAACGTACCATTTTTATTAATTTCCCAACGTCGTTTCCCACGTTGGCTTGCACGACGTACATATACTTGAACTAGCCCGACGTCTACCCGTTGTCCGAATAGGATACGTCCCACTGATAATCCCTAAAGTAACGTCCAATTATATTTTGTTGTATTTTATGTTCATATTTATAACCTAGTACGAGACATCAGAGGTATGTCGTGCTAATGCATTTAACAAGCAAATAATAAATGTATTTAACTTTTAAACGTCTTAAAGGCCTTAAAACCTTGATGAGCATTCTTTGTTTTTTTTTCACAAATCACTGTGGCTTATTTCAATATTTAAGTCTAAAAAAACAAAAAATGATATGGAAAAATTATACTGCAAAATAATATGTTATGTTGGGTCCTATTCCCATGTATTCAAATTTCAAATTTATAATTGTCTAGTTAATCAGCACAAAACAGCAGTAAGTTTTAGTACCAAGTTAAAGGTAAGAGCTTGTATATTAAGAATTAATTAAAGTGCTTGGGGAATACAAAGGTATCATTAACTTTTTGGACAGATAAATCAACAACTTTAAATTGTTTTGCAGAATTTGTTCACTTTTAACTGTAACCTAATTATTTTGCTCAAGCTAAAAAAGTATCCAAAACAGTTTCTATAGAAATAATCTACACTTACCGGAGTTAGTGTTAGCCATTTAAATTTTAATTTTATTATATTTCGTTATAAAGAAATACCACTTTGAAATTGAGCAATATTTTCATTAAAAAATATTAATTTATTACGTTTGGATTATTGTCAACTTTGACAAGCTGCAGCAGGTGTTCTACTGGAGATGCTGATCCAGTGCTGCATGATCAAATCAAAGAGAAGAGCATAGTTTATGGTGCTATTTTTTTGCTTAAATCTCATATTTCAATTTTCGACTTTCTGGTAACTTTGCGGTCTAGGCCCTCTGTGCGTCGTTTCCCACGTTGGCGGTAATGACGTACATATACTTGAACTAGCCCGACGTCTACCCGTTGTCCGAAATAGGATACGTCCCACTGATAATCCCTAAAGTAATGTCCAATTGTTTTGTTGTATTTATGTTCATATTTATACCTAATTTACGTATCTCTGTTTACGTCCGTAAATACAACCCATTAAGTAGCATTTGCGGCCTAATGAACATCATGAACATAACCTAATAAACAGTTTTTGTAAACAAACTTAATTTTTTTATTATGCCTAAAAAACACTAAAAAGGCATTTAGACATTCATCTACATTTTACAGAAAGCTGATAAATAAAATAATAATAGTAGTAGTGATGTCTTGCCTCCACCCACGAGTGTTTTTTATCGGGAAGAGATGCTACATTACACTGGTGCATCTTAATTTAATTTTTTAGCTTAGGAAACCAGCAGACCTCATCCTCCTCCCACATGTGAGTTACTGGTTCCAATTCTTTTAAATTTTGTATATATACTATCTTAAAAAAGTGGCTGCCCTTTTTTTAAGGAGAAAACAAAAACTAAAATATAGTTGCACAAATCCACAAATCACTGATACGCAAAGTGAGGTTACGTTGGAATTATATATACGGTTACGAAAGTGAGGTACGTTGGTATATATGGTTACGATATATGGTTACGATATATATGGTTACGAAAGTGAGGTACGTTGGAATTATATACGTCATAATACGATTGCCGGTCGTCCGGTTTGATGACTTCGGTCGTGTGAGACGACTAATATTGTAGACCCGGTCGGAATTGGTATATTAGTTCATGGTCAAGTCGGACACAAAATCCGCCATTCTTAACAAGTATCCGATTGTCAGCCATTTTAAAATCGTTTTTTGTTTTTAAAATTTATATTCACATTCCGATTTCTAGTAGAATAATATTGATAAGGTTGAGTTTGGGGGGAACCACAGTACAGTTTTATGATTAAACCAGCTAGGAAATAAAAAAAATATTTTGCGAGTTACTTTTTTATAGATATTTTTATTTCATAAATCTACTTAATTTTGAAGGCGCTCGTTGTTTTCTGGAGTATTTTAATCAGATATATAAAAAAAGTGACTTCCGTTGACAAAACTGATGTCTGGATTAATGATTCAGAACTATTATAATATGAAATTAGGTAGGCACTTATAGTTATATTCGAGGAGCGATTATGAATCCATTTGTAATTAGGTAGTTTGGTTAGGTTTTTATATATTCTTGGTAGCGAATATGAAACCAAACGTAACGTAAGTGCTTAGCGACGAATTTTAAGTGAGTAAAATCCAACGTAATATGACGTTGGTAATTGGTAGAATTACATTCCGGTCAGATACCGACGTCGAGGCTACCCGAATCTGTATTCCCCATTTAGGTGCAAATAAGGGTCGTCAGGCGGTCGAACCGACGTTGATACCCGACGTCGGGTTTATTGGACGCGACGTATACCCGACGTTAGATAACGTCCAAATGCTACTTGGGAATTTAACTCTAGATTAAAATTATTAAAACTACTGGCGCCTGATGTGACAAATACTTGTAAATTTGTCTGTAACTATAATGGGATTGCCATTTTTTAGGTAAGATATTTAGAAAATTTTATTGATTTTATTTTCATTTTTATTATGGCATTGCTTGCAAGCCTATTGTAAGGACTCTACAAAGTTTCGTCACATACAATTGGGTGGCAGCGGTGGGATGTTAGCCTTAACAGAAAGCTACTTAATTTCTCCTAGTAAAAAGGGTTCCCTTTATTAACCAGAGTTTATTTTTTAGAAAAACACTCATATTTTACGGCGAACACACGTGGATCTAGACCCCTACGAAGACCCCTAACTATACTAGGTTCTTTTCTAAGCTGAAAAATATTCCCTTAGACTAAAAATACTCTAACCAATATTTTCAACAAAGAAAATGTTCTAATTTTAAATTAGTAAACTATGCATTTTCTTGGCCATATTTTTGTACTATGCAATTACATAAATGTAAAAAAACGCATAAAAATAGCAAAACTTTTAATAAACAAAATTATGACTTGACAAATCCAAAATTTGGATTAGGATTTCCAGATCAAAAATATAAGAAAAAGATGGTTGACTTACTTGACATCTTCGACGAACTTTTCCAGCTTTTCGTTGACAGTGACGTCTGTCATTCTGATTTGCTGCAGTTCGCTGTTTCGAGTCAACTCAGCCACTATCACATCCGGGCCGTACCACCTTTGCATCAGTTCGTCGGTAATGGTCTCGGATATGTTGGCTGAAATTAAACAATAAATACATCTTCAGTGATATTAAAATGTGAATACCCTGTAATATTTGTTTTATTACAATATTTTATACATAAATTTATTTCAGCTAGTGTATAATAAACAGAAGACTGGCGGAAAATAGATGGGGCTGCACCCCTAACCTTTTTCGCTGGATGTATACCATGATAGTAAAACCCGTGATTATCTATGGAGCAGATAGTTGGTACACGAAACTAGAGGTGGAGTTAGGTTAGGTTAGATCTAACTAATAATAATAAAAATGCAATAAGGCATTTTATTGAGCATCAAATTGCGCAACTTTGCCTCCATTTAACCGATCCTGTATCTCTTAGGGCTCGAACTCACTGACGACCAGGTCGCAACGACCTGGCCGTCGCGTCGGCTGGCCGGATGTATTACGTTTTTAGCTGCCGCCAGATGAACGACCAGTTTCAACAGAGTTGTCAAATCTAACGATTTTTTACGTTTTACCAATTAGAAAATATTGTTTCAGAAATGTTAAAATATCCGAGTTAACTAAAAAGCGAAGTTCTATTCACAACAAACAAAAAGCATTGTGTACACGCGACCGACAAAAAGGGAGATATTCTGTTTCTTTTTTCTACTGATATGGCGCCCTTATCGACTTTAGAAGTAAACATATTAGGGCCATCGTAAAAAAAGATCGTCAGACACTGGCTCTAAATGTAAGCAGGTAGAAAGTTTAGCTTCCAGTTATTTCAATGTTTACAATATAACGAAGAATCTACAACAGTAATTACTTCTATTTTTATGAATGTTTAAATAACTTTCTTAATTTTTTTTTTCAAAATAATGTACCTAGTAGAAATATAGTCTAATGAATCCTGTTTGAAAAATGTTAAATTAAATATCATATTTAAAATAGTTGTCCTCCTTGTACATGACTACAATACAACTAAAAAAACTAATTTAATAAAAAAAACAAGTGGTTGTAGAAAAACTTTAAATATTATTATTTTTTATTTTTTAAACATCGAAACTCAAAGGTATAATAACAGGTATCATACCAACCATAAATAGAGTAGGTATGTCATATAAAAATGTTTTGAGTTTTTACTAGAATCGACCCTTGATAAAAAAAGGGATTAGATTTAAGTTTACCTTTGATCCAGTCTGTATATTATTTCTTTGGATTTTCTGCACGTGTGCAAAAACTACACTAAAACACTATATCTTATAGAAAATAAAATATTGTACCTTGAATTTGAGGGATTTCATCTGAAAAATTATTAATTTGGAAGAAAACCGGCAACAAGCGGCAGAAAATAATATTTCCGTGCAGTCTTCTGGTCGCAACGACCAACGGACGGCCAGGACGTTAGTGTGCGCTATATCATTTGATTAAATGGTTTTAGAGGTAGGTGCGGCCTGGCCGGTGCGACCTGGTCGTCAGTGTGTTCAAGCCCTTACGGTTTCCGAAATCCCAATGATTATGATGAGCGTCCGAGTAATGAGCGTCGAATTTGAGCCACCCTGTACAGTTTTATTTCAGCAAATCAGATAAATTTTTTGAAAAGTCGTAAAAAGTATATAGTTTCAGGAAGAGAACTTGTCCATCTTGTTTTCAGTTTTTTTTCATTTTCAAGTTTTTTTCCATTTTTGTCAATAATTCATCTTTAAACTTTTTGGTAAACAAATTAAATATCAATGATAAAATTATTTCTAAGTGGCTTACTTTTTTAAAAAACAACCTCTCATTTTTAATTAATAAAAAACAATAATTTTGACTCCTACGATGACAGTTAGAGATAAAAAAGTTTTTTTACTAAAAAAAATATCTTTGAGTGATTCAATTACTTAAATAAAACCAAGTGTATGTTATATTTGTTACTTAAAACAATACTATATGTAGATACTGTATATTGTTTCTATTATATTAAATCCAGACATAAAAAAATTAAAAAATGCACTTGGATTAATTCAAAATAGGCATTTAATAATAGTCTAAATTTAGACCATACTTCAACTTGAGATATGTTCTGATATAATACATCAAATATCGAAGAATTACTAAAAATCGTATTTACGTCATTGCCAGGTCTTTATAGAGTTTAAAAATTGTGTTTCTAATACAGAAATGATAAGTGCTTATCATTATCAGTAGCGTACTATACATATTACAGAAATTTATTTTGGTTTAAGCATAAAAAATTATCTTATGGGATACAAGATGATTCTTTTTAGAAAAAAAAAACATTTAGACTTAATTTGCGTTTTTTTTCTCTGGAAACCACCTTAAAGCGCAACTCTACAACATGGAAGACTCCATCCGTAACCAAGAATAGTTAACCTAATAGGACTGCTTATTCAGCCAAAAGTGTCCGCCAGGTGCATGCGAAAACTCCTCGCTTTGTGACGTCATTGTAGCCCTTGTCATGGTTATCAGTCCTTATCCGGCAACCAATAATACACACGTGTATTATTAGTTGCCGAATGCAAAACGTTCATTATTTAGTTTATTTATTTAAACACCTTATGTATGCAGTATAGAAAATTAACTGTATAAATCGTATTAAATACTCGGATAATGCATTTTTAAGAACAGCAGTTCCCAGCATCACCTTTTGCAGGCATTCTTTTTAGAGTACTTCCATATTTTGCTTTAAAATAATTAATAAACAATATCGTAGGCACTTAGTAAGCACTTCGTCACAATCCACACCACAAAATGAACGTATTTATACACTTTATAGCTCTAAAAACTTTAAAGATACCTTTTTCACATTTAAAATTGACAAAATAATTAACTCAACATTTCTCAGCTGTTATTTTTATAAGTTTACCATAGGCAACTAATAATACACACTATCATGACAAGGACTACAATGACGTCACAACTGTCAGCTGAAGCGCGGGAAGAGGCGAACATACGTCTTATGAGGATGAGTAATCCTATTAGTTTACCGTTCTTGATCCGTAACCTGGAATGGGAACCCTCAAACAGTCTATGATACTCAAAGAAATTTCTCAAAACTTATACCCGAGAAAAATCAAAGATTTTCCTTGATTTAAGTAAGAATAATCTTCGGATTGTTGCGGGATTTTTAACAGGTCACTGTCTCCTCAATGAACACCTCAGTAGATCGAAGCTACGATACAACAATAAATGCAGATTCCAGAAAACTTCATCACTGAGTGCGACGAAACAACAACCAAGAGCCACAAACTTTGATACGACTTATATCCGAGATCTAATAAATCATACAAAAAATAATAATATTCTCCGAATATAAAGAAAATAAAAAGGTACGCCCCTGGAGTTACCTATTTATAAAAAAACACTAGCTATCCATTAATAACCTTTAATTATACGTGTTTACTCCAGACTGCGCGGCTCTGAGCGTGTGATGTTAGCCAAAACGAATTTAAAAAATTCAATTTACAAAATAAATAATACAATCTCGGGGTTATCACATTTTTGGATCGTTATGGCATTGTATAGGCAAGTATTTTTCTGTACAAAAACTTAAAAATTTTAAGATTAACTGGGGATTAATAAGTCTCGGGTCACAGGCAGTGTTATATTGTTAGCGATAACCGTTTATATAAGACGTAAGATTAGCATAGAAACAATAAGAAACAATAATAATAATAATATTTGGAATATTATTATGAATATTATTTCTTCCCACTTTAGTATGACTTTAATTCATTTTGATTAACGTGGCATTTCTAATCTAAAAACTTGTATTTATTATACCGATAGCGCCATCTACTATCAACATCGGGAAATTAAAAATTGTAGATTTCTGTAATGTCTCATGAATTTTAGTGTCGTCATAGAGTAACTTGGGTTGCAGGTTAAACATCATATTACGCTTTGAATAAAAAGATTAAGGAAGGAGTATAATGCTATCCATCCATGTATTCATGCATGGTGGGCGGAAAAAGGACTCTAGGGTGGGGATCCTTGATAGTTCTGTTTGACGATTCATTTGACACATTTGAATTTGATTCGAAATTTTGTGGATTTTTTTTGTCAGTCTTTACTGAGCTTACTTTATGTTATTTATTATTTATTCTACTACGGATAGTTGTATAAAGGTAGTAAATCTAGATGGAAATTGTGGCAGAACTTAAATTAACAGTGACACTATCGCGATTTATCGAAAATGACTCTAAAATAGTTGGTTGTGTAGCGTGCGGTAGATCTCGGTCAAAAATCGAGGGAAATAATGGAATAACTTTTCACTAGTAAGTGACCATATAATATACATATTTGTAGTAAACTGATCATTTATGATAATTCACTTAAATTAACTAATTATATTTTTTTTTATTGCATTTTTGCTTTATTTACTATTTGTCAAAGATTAGATGTCAAAGAACTTAGACACGTCAATTTGACTTACCTGTTTGTGTTAATAAATAATTATTATAACTTATCTATTTTTATTAGAATTATAATATATATTTTTATAACAATTTTAATAACTACCAACATTTATTCACAACGTAAAATAAAACAACAAATTATTGAGTCTACCCCACGTCTACCCTACATCATAGTTTTACACTTTTTAAATTAAATTAGAACGGCACTGATAAACCGGAATTTAAGTCGGCCATATTTGAGTCCCATAGCGGTGGATCTAAGATTTTTGATATGCTCCTTCCTTAATATTTGTATTCAAAGACAAACAAATGTTTTTAAGGTTCTTTTCTAAGTACACTGGCATTGAAGCGAGTGACAATTAGGAAGGTAATGGCAACTTCGCGTCGGAAGACTATTATGGTGCTTAAATTGAAATTAGAGGAACAAACCTCTACGCTAACTGAAACCAGTTAATTAAACCAGAATGAAGCTTAATGCACGAAAAAAAAATGAAATGATAATGACTACACTCACATATTTTACCTGAATTCTTGACCAACACCGTAGCCGCTAGCAACTTGAGGCTGTGCACCTCGAACAGCAACGGGTGGAACAGCAACTGCCTGGCCGTCCACCTGTCCTCCGGGTTGATCTGCAGGCACTTCTCGATAAAGTCTCGCTGTTCGGGATCCTCGAGCTGGTCGATAGTCTGCCGCACGTTGTCCTGGGTCACCCGCTTGCCGGAGTCGCCGTTGCCGATGATCTCCAAAGCGGCCATTTCCAGGGCGCACATGCCGAACGCGTAGATGTCCAGCGCGGGGCTTATGTCTACAGCAGGGAGGAGGGAAATAGTCAGTTATGTTAGTACTTAATCGACTTAAATACAAGAGTTCAAAAATATGGGATTTTAAGAATCCCATATTAATGGGATATTTTTAAAACAGCCCATATTAAATGGGGTTTTTAAAAAGAGCTCATATTTAAATGGGATTATTAAAAAAATAAAAAAGCCCACATATTAAACAGTAGTTTTCAAAAATTCTCCTGTTAAAGTAGGATTTTAAAAGAAGGCCAATATTAAGTGGGATTTTTTACAGATCTCATATTAAATTAGATATTTTAAAAAATCCCTATTACTTTTTAAGTTCATTAAGAGTTATTTAGTTAAGAAAAATTACATTTAAAAATTTTAATTTTTTCGATTAGTGAATTTTGCTTGTAAACTGACGATATATGTAGATAGAATTTTTTGTTTCTTAAAAATTCGGCGATATTTACTAACCCGTATCAAAAAAATCCCATATTAAATGGGATTTTTAAGAAAAGCCCTCGTTAAATGGGATTATTTAAAAAGCTCGTATTAAATGGGAATATTTAAAAAATCCCACATTTCAGTGGGATCTTTAAAAATTCCTATTTAATATGGGATTAAGAATATTAAATTAGATTGTTTTTATTTTTATCAATTCCATGATATTTTGTTTATAAAAAATGCATTAAAAATTATATTTTCCAATTATAAGGTGTATTAATAGTGTATTTTGCTTGTAAACTGGCGATACATCATAATTATGATTTTTATTACTCTATGTAATAAAAATCCCATATTAAACGGGATTTTAAAGAAGAGTCTACATTAACTGGGATTATTTAAAAAAAGCCCATAATAAAGGGGAATTAATAAAAATCCCACGTTAAGTGGGATCTTTAAAAATTCCTATTTAATATGGGATTTTTTTAAAGATTCCCTGTTAAATTAGATTTTTTTAAAAAATCCCGATTATTTTCATATTTATCCATTCCATGATGTTTTATTTATAAAAAATGCATTAAAAAATTATATTTTCGAATTATAAGGTGTATTAATAGTGTATTTTGCTTGTAAATTGGAGGTACAGGATTTTTTATTTCTTAAAAATCCCTTATCATAATTATGATTTTTATTAATTTATATAAAAAAAATCCCATATTGAACGGGATTTTTAAAGAGTCCACATTAAATGGAATTATTTTCAAAAAAATCATATTAAATGGGAATTTAAAAAAAAACACATTAAATGGGATTTTTAGCGAATGCCAATATTAAATGATTTTACTTAAGATCCCATATTAAGTAGGATTTTAAAAAATCCCGTTAAAAACTTATTTTCTTCTCAATCTTGTTTGTAATAAGCTAAGTACGTACCTGTAACAAAATTATTGTTATTATTACTACTAGACAATATTAAAACAATAAATTAATATAGAAATAATTGAATTATACTCACTCGGATGCTCCGGGGCGACAAAATGCAAATTCTTGATCTCGTCCGCGCACGTCTTCACGTGATGGTTGATGGACTCGGGCGCCACTAAACGTCAAAAGAAAAAACAAACACCCAATCAGCGTTAGACAGCATTGACAGTCAGATTTCGACGATCGAAAAAGCTGACGGCGTCGGATTGCGGGAACGGGCACCGTCGAACCAGTCTCCACTGCTTTTTATTCCTTCGAATTACCTCCTCATCCCAATTTAACACACTCTCCCCTACTTTTTAGTTTTTTGTTCGAAATAAGTGGATTTTTTCGCGTTTTCGGTGGAAACTGACTGGGACCGCAAGACTGAAGCGTCGGCTTTACAATTTTTGAGTAAATAGCCTTCGAAACGCCTCCGTGGCGCGCGTAAGCGACATAACCGCACTTACGCGCGCGAAAGGCTAGACGAGGACTCGCGAGGGGAGCGGGGGGCGTAGCCGACACTTGCTGCGAGTGTCCCGCATGCGCGGGTCTGAGCAGACAGCTGTCACAGCGGTTTAAGTGTCACTTTTGTTGACTAGTTAAAAAAACTTCTTTTTCCAAAAAATTCTGTTTATAATTTTTTTACTATTAACCCAATTAATTTTCTATTAAATATGGTCAATATACAATGAAAACAATGTCATAGTAGGCCTAGAAATAACACTTTTTATTTCCAGTTTTATACAACTTCGGTCGCATATTCTGCAGATAAAAATAAGTAAAAAAGTTCGTATAAATGTATGTATGTCCTAAAATGCTTAATTTCAGAGATACAGGGTGTAGAAGTTTAATTTTTATTTCGATTTTTTCCAAATAATTTCTGAAGTAACGTAATTATTTAGAGAATTATAATAATTATAATAAAAAGTATTATTTATTTCTGAAGTAATATAATTATGTTTTCTGGGAGGTTTTTGACATGAGAAATTTGATTTTGATGTCAATATGACTTCTATTTTTAGGGGGCGCCACATACATGTGTTTTACCAGTTTTGAAGAATAATAACTTTTTGCCCATACCTGTATAAAACTACTGAGTGAAAAAGTATACATTTCCGTGACTTTTTACGTAAAAAATGTCTCTTGATAAAAATTGCTAGGAGGAACCGTTATGAAGATATTTAGAACAGAAATAGTCAATACATGTCATTATTGACAGACAGTTTCTGTTGAACTTTTGGCACAAAAACATTTTAAAACATGTTTAATTTATGTCAATGATGATTGGTATTGATAATTTCGTTTCCAAATATCTCGACCACCATTACTCGTAGCGATTTGTACCAAGAGGCCTTTTTTACGTAAAAAACGTCGTAAATGAATAATTTTTAGCTCAGTAGTTTTATACAGGAACGAACGAAAAGTTATAACTCTTCAAACCAAAACCCAGTCACAGTAAGCTCGAACTAAAATGTTTTATCTACGCTTACTGTGACATCGTTTTCATCTGATCACACCGTATATACAGAGCGTTTCAGAGAAATGAACATTTAAAAATATTACTTTCTGCATTATTTCTTGGATTTAGCCTATTTATTATTTACAAAATCTTCAGGTACAATTCTTACAAGCAATGTATATAGTTTACATTTACTTTGGCTAGCCATTCAATGATAAGAAGTAAATATAAACTACGTATAAAATAAACTATTATATACAATATTAAAAATAAAAATATACCTAAAGAATGAAAAAAGAAAATGTTGGATAAAAAAAAAAGATTTGGATAAAAAATGTTCTTATATTAAACAAATAGACTAAACCTCAGAAATATTATTAAAACAAATGTATTTTTTTTGAGATTTTGTTAATCTAGAAGCAATTTATTTCACAAATAATGACAGGGATTTTCAAAATTGACAGATAAACAAATCTTCGTGAAATTTTATTAAAATTTGCTTACCTGAAAATTTATAATACTCTCCTATTTTTTTTAATCTTAACTGAAATTTGTATTTAATTCTGAAGCACACTGTGTGTATACAGGAAGTCAAAAATTCATTACAGGGCATCTTGTAAGTACATACTTTAAAAATTTAATATTTTTGCAGTAATATACTGAAAAAAATACCCCGAAATGAATGAATAGACTCAATTTTCGACCACAGCACAAAAAAACACTTCTTTTGACAGATATGACGTAAAAAATCGGACGCTTAAACTGATTGACAGCTCCGCTGTCAGACATGCGCGTAACAGCGCCCATCCCACAATCCTAGACGACCGTGCAGCGCACTATTATCCAAAAAAGTTCAGAAAAAAAAAACAAACAAATGCAACCAATAATTTTTTGACTTATATTTTGCGCACGACATACTAATACTCGCTATTCTTACTGAATTTTTGACTTTTTATGTGTTTTATTGTATATATTATGTATTTTTCGGTTTTTATACAGTTGAGGTTACCTTTTTGGCGTTATACAACAGCAAAATAAAACGCTAGTTCGCCACAAAACACCAAAACACTTTTACATCCGAACGCGCGTTTCGCTAACCATGTTAGCATCATCAGTAGATGATTAAGACTATTATTCATAAGTTTAGCGTTTATATAGGCGCTCGATTGGCATTGTTACCAAGCGTAATAATAAATTACCTATCTAAAGCAATAGAAACAGGGAACTATAAGGAATTTATGGAGAACCGGTTATAGGATTTTTTTGTTATTTTTAGCGTTACTGTGCTACTGCATCATTTGAAAAGTGGTAGAATCTTTGATATTTTAAATGGAACGCGCGGTATATTGTTATATTTTTCGAAACTACTTCCGTTTCCCATAAATTTTATATTGTACTCTCCTATACTTATCTCTTATAGTTTTTGAGGTAAAAAATAAATAAAACTTGTAAAATTGTCAGAAACATGATTCTGAAAAGCATTGATAAAATCATGAATTAATTATATGGAAATTTGGTTTATAGGTTAAGGAAAGTCGATATATTCGATCTGACGAAATCAACCCATTGAATATTACACAGGAAAATAAAAAAAATATTTACTAAAGTAAATAAATTAAAAATTTAGCAAGTCTTAAGTCTAAACAATACTTATAACAAAGAGGTCATATTTAAATGGGACTATTAAAAAAATAAAAAGCCCACATATTAAATGGTAGTTTTCAAAAATTTAAACCCCACTAAGTGGGATTTTTAAAGAAGGCCAACATTCAATGAGATTTTTCTTAAAGATCCCATATTAAATTAGATATTTTAAAAAATCCCTATTACTTTTAAATTCATTAAGAGTTATTTTGTTAAGAAAAAATGCATTTAAAATTTTTTTCGATTAGTATATTTTGCTTGTAAACTGACGATATAGAATTTTTTATTTCTTAAAAATCCCGTATTATAATGGCCACTTTTATTAACCCATATCAAAAAAATCCCATATGAATGGGATTTTTAAAGAAAGCCCACATTAAAGGGGATCAATTAAAAAAGCCCGTATTAAACGGGGATCCTTAACAATCCCACATTAAGTGGGATCTTTAAAAATTCCTATTTAATATGGGATTTTTATAAGATACCATACTAAATTAGATTTTTTTTAAATCCCTTTAAAAAAAAAAAAAAGATCATGTTTTTGTCAATTTTACACAAAATGTTTCATTTTTCTATCTCCAAAACTATTACAGGTAGATTTAGAATAGAAATTACGATATATGAACGTAGTTTCCAAAAAAATAATAATATACCGAGTGTTCCATTTAAAATAACAAAGATGCTACTACGTTTAAAAAAAATCCACATTTTCAAAAAAAAACTATAAACGTCTAACTTATCATCGCCGTGAATAAAACAATATGAACATAGATATTGGTCCCATTCCTTCCTAGTTCTTTGTTCCTATCGGTCGAGTACCATAATTTATTTCTTCGCCAATTTTGTCACGCTGGGTTACAATACCAACCCAGTGCCTACATAAACGCCCATTTCGCGAATAACAGAATAACGATAGTAACAAGCTTAGCGAAACGCGACATTTTAAAGCACGGTATTTTGGTGTTTTGCGGCGAACTGGCGTTTGATTCTATTTTTTTTTGGTTTTGTTTTGTTTTTGTGATTACCTGAGCCTATCTTGACGAGTCCATTGTGTTGAATAAATATGGTATCACAGGTCAGATTGCCGTGGACGATTGGCGGCGTACAGGAATGCAAGTAACTGTAAAGAAAACATACTGGATTCATAGAACCGACTTTCTCTCGAGTGTGTGTGATGAGATGGATAGTAGCGTTCTATCTAGCCGCTTTTTTGGGCCTCCCCGTATTTTTCTGCGACGATCAGAGACCTTTTTTCGCCCTCATCTCTCTCTTTCTCAATATTTTCTCGCTTTCGTTTTTTTATTTCGATATTTTTGGCTCGAAAGGACCAACCGATGGGCGAATTACCTCACTGTGCAGTCAGAAATGACTATTCTAATTCATTTTCGATGATTTTTTTTGTATGTTAAAGTATACTTATCAAATTTTATTAGAGATGTCTTGTTTTGAAAAAATATCCATACTCTTTATCGGTATCGATTTTTGTATCGATAATATTTTTATAAATCATAATTGAAATCTGTCAATGTCGTTAATAACGAATTTTCCAACATTATATCAATGCAACCAGTTAAACACCATGCAAGTATATCTGGTTGCATACGTTACCCCTTTAACGTTAACAACAAACAGCTTAGAAGTATAAAAACAAAATCGGACATATGAGCTAAATTTAATATAATTTTGAATTAATATTTAGACATATACCGGGTGCGTCTCAAAAGTGGCTCATCCCTATAACTTTTTTATTTTTTCAGATAAAAAAACGAGATTTGGTATGTTGATATACGATATAAATTAATATTGATTTACGTATTCAATTGTTTTTTATCAATTCCTGTTTCACCGGAAATGACTACAACTTTTGATTTTTAAATGACACCCTTGGTATTTTTTTACTTTATTCCACAGAAAATGACACTCTGAATAGAATGACATATAATGTCAACTTTTGACATTTTCGCATATGGTTTATTTGAAATTGTAACATGCGGTTCATAACGACAATTTGACTCGAAATACCAAGTGTGTGGTACCAAATCATTCGTAAAAAAATACTTTTTCCAAATATGCTTATGATCCACCCTTAATCCAATTAAAAAAATTGATATATGCCTAAAAATACGGTTTGGGCATCTTCTAACGTGCCAAGACAAGACAAAAAAACATTAGACGATCAAATCTCTTTTTTCCGAGGCTCCTTGATTAAAAATTAGTGTTTTTAACACATCCATGGCACTATATAATGACATTTAAAATACGATTTTTTTAATGTGAAAATGTCAAAAGTTGACATATGATATGTCATTTTATTCAGAGTGTCATTTTCTGTCCAACCGAGGGTGCCATTTAAAAATCAAAAGTTGTAGTCCTTTCCGGTAAAACAGGAAGTGACCAAAAACAATTAAATACGTCAATAAATCCTAATTTATGTCATAATACTTACATACTACTTTTACATAGACTTTTGAGACGTACCCGGTATTAAAATAAATAACAGTTAATGCGTATCAAAAAAAAAAGAAAATTAATTCATGAAAAAATTATCTTTAAATCCCTTGTATAATTAAATATAACAATGAATTAGAATAACCTTTTAGTTGTTTATCTTTATTATTTTTATTAAAACTATATTCGCTGGTCTGTATTCACTGGAACTACCACAGAACGGTAACAACGGAAGCCATACTCACCAAGCCCGAAATTCCATAGAATACTGACGCCATCTCGCGTTAATCGTACTCAACTAACACCATCGGTAAGTCCCACGACAGTTTACTGTAATACCTTCATCAAAATTCTCCTTCTAACAGAATCTTACTTACCTTTCGTTACTTTTTACTTAAAAAACCTGAAAATTAACCAAATCTACTACATATTAAATTAAATTCGCATCCAAGATCGTTTCTTTTTCCGGATTTTACTTACATGAATTCATTCAAAATTTAAATTTCCCGCGCGTTGAAGACAGACAAACGATCGAGGATCAAAATGAACCACATTTCAAGTTTTCATACTTACAAACAATAACTCATTGTGGTTAGAAATTCCTTACAAACTATAAACTAATACATTTCGACAAAAATCTAAATGTTCGCCTTATACAAGTAAAAAAGTCTTACTGTCTAAGTTATTACAAAAGTGGGGTTATAGTATCAAATTATAGAATGGTTTTACAATAAAAAAAAGTGTCAGGGGGATGGGGGAGGGATTAATTACCTTAAGGCTGAGAGGATTTGAGTGCACCATCTCCTCCACGCGGGTAGGGGTATTCTTTTGACGTTGCGTTTGGTGCGCTTCAGGAATTGTTTCAAAGAGCCAGATGACATATATTCTGTGATGAAGATAACCTAGAATAAAAATAAGTACGTCAGTCAATGATGATGATTAAATCAACTTGATTTAAATCGTGATTTAAATCAACGGATTTTTTTTAAATTTTAATCATGGATTTAAATCAAAAAATCAACTTGTTTAAAAACTTATGACAAATCGAAAGATAACTGTAAAAATTTAAAAAAAAACTTTCCTATAAAGCTATAAAAAAGTATTCCTATATCAAATACCGGGTGTTGCATCGTCGGACGGGACATAGGAAATCCCATGTAAATTTTAATGGGGTCAATTATTGGCTTCCCTAATTATTTTAGAGAATAATTCTATTTAGGTTTATTGAAGAGCATTAAAACCCACATTCAAAAGAATAACTTTAGATATTTTTGATTAGCCCGTTTACGAGTTATCGCCGATTTCTTTTTAAATATTTCTCCTTTCTTATGGCCCTGTATTTACTTATGAGCACCAGTCAAGGTAAAAGATAACTGTCAAATGAAGTTGTCATTTCAGAAATTTACCTATTTAGTGCTTTATTTTATTATTGAAAACTCATTCCTACATCGGAAATCTTAAAGATGTATTTATAAATACAAATTAATATGAATTAAAGTGAAATAAAGTAATCAATTACAAGGTTAATTATAGTATTATTACAATATTCAATAACTTATTAATTTAGGTACTATTAAATGACAACTTCATTTGACAGTTATCTTTTACCTTGACTGGTGCTCATAAGTAAATACAGGGCCATAAGAAAGGAGAAATATTTAAAAAGAAATCGGCGATAACTCGTAAACGGGCTAATCAAAAATATCTAAAGTTATTCTTTTGAATGTGGATTTTAGTGCTCTTCAATAAACCTAAATAGAATTATTCTGTAAAATAATTAGGGAAGTCAATAATTGACCCCATTAAAATTTACATGGGATTTCCTATGTCCCGCTCGACGATGCAACACCCGGTATACCCTATATCTATTCATCAAATAAGTACAAAGTTATGCTTGCTGTTTAACTGTAACGTTTAAATACTTTTTTCCATAGCAACTGTTAAAATTGCCTTATATCTATCAAAAATAGTAGATAAAATAGTACTTTAACAGCGAGGATAGGTTTAAAACTTTATTTCTTCTCGCACGTTTTTTAATTGCTTCCATTTTTGAAAATTTTTGTAGTCCTTTTCATAAGTTATTCGGGATTTATATGGAAGTAGTTTGGATATGGCGTTTGTCGCTTCAGCCTGAATATCTGTTGGTAATTTACTTATTTCGTTTTGAGCCATTTCTGGCTCCAATTCAATCAGCAATCGACACGAAAAAGAATTAAAAAATATTGACTCAAAACTGACAACTAAAGAGACAGCTTTATTTATTTGTCAAATTACATAGAAACCAACGTAAAAGATGTAACATATAACACATATCCCTAACATCCATTCATCTATTAAATTGTTGGTTGTGAATCCATTACACTTCTAAATGGCAGAGATTTATTTTGAAATTGTGTCAGAAATCCGGTATTTGAATACATTTCATTCGCAAACTCTAGTGCAGGACTTAAAATAAACCTTTATTTAAAAAATTTTTTGTTAACGCAATATTTCCATGAAGACCCTGTATAATATTACTCCAAGAATCCTTATCCAAAATTTCATACTTTCCTAAGATACTTTCATTCTTAACAAATACGTTTAAATTTAAATGTATTTGATTCTTAATAACTAATATGCAACCAGTTAAACACCTTGCAAATATATCTGGTTGCATACATCCTACCATTCTCAACACAAACTAGAGATCGCATCTTTTCCTTCGCACTTTTTTCGCGAAATATTCAGATGGTACGGTACGAACGCTGACGCCGAGAATAATAGCGCGAATTTCGGTAAAACGAGATGAAGAAAATGGTCGGTAGACCCGCGTAGAAGTTCGGGAAAAACCTCGGAATTTCGTGGCTAGGTAGCAGGAGAGCAGGACACGCAGGAGGTACGCCGCGTACCTGCACGCGTGCTTCGAGAGGTAACAGCGATGGCAGCGATAGCAGAACACCGTCGTGACGGCGCTGTTGCCAAGATTCTTGAATGGATTGAGACGTGAAGACTTTGATGGGAATGAATGAATTTTCAAAAACACACTTCCCACACTTGTTTTACTCGTAGTTTGTCTTCGCATATCCAATCTAGCAACATGACCAGCTCATTGCCATTTCATCACCACTTCCTGAATTATATCGGTAACTCCTGTTTGCCTCCTGATGGTTTCATTACGAATTTTGTCTCGTAGACAGACCCCTAGCATACATTGTTTCATAGCATTTTGAGTTGTTAAGAGTTTAATACCATGATTTTGTTAGACTGGTCAGCTTTCAAGGCAAAAACGCGGCATACTCTATTTTAAACATCAAATAATCAGCTAACTATCCGAAAATTACGATTTAAGGTTGATTGTCACTATACCTTCCATTTCCCTTCCGAATCCCCTCCCATATAATCTACAATCCTTGAACAAAACCAATTGTAGAATAAATAATAAATAACATAAAATAAGCTCAAAAAAGTTCATCGAATACGGAAAGTTTCAAATCAAATTCAAATGCGTCAACTGAAACGTCAAACAAAATTGTCAAAAATGGGTACAAGAGATGTCAGTTCCGCCTCTCATGCACGAATACATAGATAGCATTATTAGTGGCTAGAACTATGCACTTTTTGAGTCGCACCTCAGATATGCCCTTCCATTCTGGGGTACGTGTTGTGCGACTCAATTTGACAGCATTTTAAGGCTCCAGAAGAGAGCTGTTCGATATTCACTGGGACTAAACAGCAGAACTCATTGCCAGGACTTTTTTAAAAAAATAAAAATATTAACTCTTCCTTCCTTATTTATATTTGAATCCGTTTACCTAATACGTAAGCATGTATCAGCTTCTCAAGAAAGGCCATCTCACACTTATCCACTCAGGAACGCGGGGCAAGATATTTATCTACCTACCCCATGCTCAGAGTTAGTTAAAAGTTCAATATTATACAACTCGAAAAAAATGCACAATCACCTGCCATTTGAAATCAAATCCATGACATAATTTTCTTCATTTGGCAAAGCATTGAAATCTTATTTACTAGACAAGGCTTTCTACGCCGTAAATGACTTATATTTTGATAATCGAATTTGATCTTGTAAGCACTGGTCTAATATTTGCTATTACTATATTTAGGTACTATAAACTTACTAAATATTTTTGAATCTTATTTTTATTTTTTTATTCTTTGACATTATAAACAGTTATAAATGTTTATTTTAAACAATAATTGACTGACAATGTAGTTTTTATACTTGTTTTATATTCTCTTTTGTTTGTTTACTTTACCTTTGTCTACAAATTGTAAAATTTTTTGACAATAAAGGCATTTATTTATTTATTATATTTATATTCTATGTTTTATCTGATCATACTATACATAAATCACCAGCAAGAGTTAATAAAACAAGAGTTGATAAAAAATATGGAGAAACTCTTGGAGATGTGGAAATTTATTGAAAACTGCTTATGCGAACTCTTCTGGAGACATCTCAGATACTGGCTTTTGTCAAAGCCCTGAGACTGTATATAACGTGAGTTTATTTTCCCAATAATATTTCTTTTAACATAGGTTTTAAAACGACACATTTTAAGAGTTTGTGCCTGCTAAGTATTTCTGCGTCTCAAGCATGTCACGCCATATCTGATTTTTATGGGCGTCCTGCGCTCCGATTTAGGGGTAAAAGTATTCCTAGAAAAGCGTTCAAAATCGAACGATGATTGGTCGAAACAATTCTGTTTCGAAAAAGAAAGTCTGAGAATATTACCTAATGCAGAAAAATACACATATTCCGACGCACAGTATAGTTTTTGAGTGCGGTGGCGTGAATAGTGTGTCAGTTAAAGTAAAGTTAATTAGTTAGTTAGTGCAGTGATATAAGCAGAAGCAGGGTGAGTACATCTCACTAAGTGTCGTAGTTTATTAATTAATTAGATCATGAATATTTTGATAAATATATTGATACGTTTTGTTAGATATCATTTGCGTACACATATTATTAAATATTACATTAAATAACTGCGCCGTATACATGCTAGGTCAAAATATAGAATATGAAAGTTAGATAGGGTTAGTAATTAAATAATGCGGCGGTATACCGATGCGGCAGCTACGTGAGCTTTGTTTAGATAGGCTATTGAATCTCTTTACTCTGTAGAGTCGGTGCTGTCTAGTCAGGAGGAGCGCAAGGATAGGCCCGTTAATGTTGCTTGGCAGGATCTGGGATCCCGTAATGTCATAGTAGCAGGGACGCGATTCCTCGTAATGTCGCAACGGTGTAGGGAGTAAAATCCTGGTTATCACCGGTTTTTATATTGTGCCTCTGGGCGTAACCAGATGCGGGAGCGGGACCCCGAGAGATTCAGCCGCTGTATCCGGGTCTTCTGGTTCGTCTAGACCGTGCCACGGGGGGGCGTGGACGGGGGCAAGACAGTACGTTAGTATTTGATGAGATAAGTAAATTTGTAATCAAGAGAGAGAGAGAGATTGGATAGTTCTTTTATAAAGTACCTAATTAGTTAATATGATAGCCACGTAAGCTTTAGGTGGATTAGTGAATTTCTGTTCTCAGTAGAGTTAGTACTGCTTAGCTTGAGGAAGCGCAAGGATAGGCCCGTTAATGTTGCTTGGCAGGATCTGGGATCCCGTAATGTCATAGTAGCAGGGACGCGAATCCTCGTAATGTCGCAACGTCGCACACGGCAGGGATCTGGGATTCCGTACGCCGTGTGACAACGGACATTATTATTATGTCTGGGACGGTACCTCCGGGTCTTCAGCGGCGGGAACAGGCCCCCAGGGTCCTCGAATCTCGGGATCGATATGTTGTGTTTATTCTGTTGCCCGTGCGGCTGATTACTCTGGAGTCCGCGCCATCAGGGGGTGCGTGGGCGGAAGGCCAAGCAGTGCATTTGCATAGATATGTTTGTAAATC